AGCATGTGAGCGGAGTGGAGCTCGAGCGGGCGGATCTTGGACAGAGCGCAGAGAGGGGCATTTTTTAAAGGACGGAGAGTCGCCCTATTTCCCGCTCCAATTTCGCTTCGCTCACACCACGAGTCGGACTCCACGTCTTTTCCCCGCCTAGCTCGCATTGTGTTCAGCATCCCAAGCGGGTCTGCAAGGGCAGAGAGGGTTTTCTCCGCAACAACCGCATGAGTCTGAAGCCTCAGACATTGTCCAAACTTGTGTTCTTGAAGGTGAACTTTCTTTCTTTCTTTCTTTCTTTCTTTCTTTCTTTCTTTCTTTCTTTCTTTCTTTCTTTCTTTCTTTCTTTCTTTCTTTCTTTCTTTCTTTCTTTCTTTCTTTCTTTCTTTCCTAAAAGTTGGACAATGTAACCCATTTAAATTGTAATGTGCACTCTGCGCAAAAGTTCAGTTATACGAATTTTGGCCTAATAGTTCATTTAGCATACTTTTAAAACGTTTATGTAGCCTACAGTAGGCATCTATCCTGTATATTTTTATTTATAATAAAGCCCATTGATTCGTTTAATTTTACAGCATTTTTTTGTACAATTGATAAGCATAATTTTATTAGGCTATTTGTGCGCGCTGTGCAAACGTTTAGTTATCAAAATGTTGGCCTAATAGTTAATTTACTTTGTAAATAAAATGTTTATGTAGGCCTTTATTTTTTACATTTTTGTTTATACACTTATTTTTTATCTTTATTTATATTATTAGGCCCATTTATTCGTTTAATTGTACAGCAGTTTGTGTATAGACAATGGATAGGCTATAGCCAATTTTATAGGCTATAAGCCAATTTAAATTTTAATCGTGCGCGTTCCGCAAAAAATCATCAAAATTCTGGCCTAATAACCTAGTTAATTTACTTTTATGTATATTTTTGTTTATATAATTTTTATTCATATTATTAGGTCACTTTATTCGTTTAATTTTACAGGACTTTCTGTAGGCCTATAGCATAGGCTATTCCACTGGACATGTTGTAAAGTCGGATCTATGTTTTATTCACGTGTATCGTGATTCATTCGTTTATACACATGTCCCACCCACTTTTTATAACAAAGTTACGCCACTGGATTTGACTGATGAAGAGATGCGACACCATTACAAAGAAAAAGACAGGCTAACATCCGTGTGTGTGAGTCTGTGCAATATTTATTCTCTCTGTATGGGTTTTGCTCCATGTATTTAGAGGGCACATTCCCAGGCTGGGCGTTGGGATTTTCTCCTCCACTGTTTCCCACACAGAGCTCACAGGAGGCCCTTTGTTCCGGCTCCAGGCCGCGGGGGACCCAGATTCAGCACAGCGGCCCTTGAGAGACCTCCCCGCATTCTTCTGCAGGACGACCCCATCCACACCTCACCTTCAGAGGTTGTCACTGCATTGTAACGCCAGGAATCACTCTGGTCTATCTTGTCTCTCTCTGGCTAGTTTCGCACTGACAGTGATTTGTTTCAAGGAGTTTTGGTTATTTTAAACAACATGAATGACTTTTAGTGACTAATTTGCCTAATTTTTTGCCTAACAACTGAGCAATGATACAGTGACTACAATTGGGAATGCGGACCACGGAGTTCACCACTTTTTACATGGAAAAAAAAAAGTACAGAGACCCACTTTAGAGATCTAAAGTGATGAAATTGCTGTCACTGCGAATAAAACAAAAGGATGGTTTCCTTAAAATTAACATTTTGTCGTCATTTACTCACTCTGATGTTGTTCCAAACCCATGTCCAACAAGAAAAAAAGACGCCTTTGACTTTCAGTCCATGATTTTTTTGTTTCACATAAAGTCACACTGGTTTTGAAAGACATGAGTGCGAGTGATGACAGAACTTTCATTTTTGTGTGAACTATCCCTTTAATTGTCCACTTTCAAGACTTTTTATTCTAATTATTCGGCCATAACTGCAAAAAAGCAATGGTACTGGTACTTGCTGTACTAATGGATGTAAGTACTCAGCATTATAGTTGACCTTTGACAATTGTGTCCAGAACCCAGCACTCATGTACAAAGACAGAAGATTTCAAATCCTGTACTTCAGGAGGTCATTCAGTTTGGACTTGGGTTCTGGGACCAGTGGGCGATTATCAATCAGTCTATTCACTGGTGTGGTTTGGTTTTCCGAAGTGGAGAGGAAAGTTCTGGTGCGTATTTTTTTTTATTATTTGACATATTTTTGTCTCCAAATTACTGTGGAACAGATTCACTTCAAAAAAATGTGCTAAAGTGCACCACAGTGATTGTTTATGAATTGTCCCTTAGATTTGAACCGACAGCCTTTTGGTTCCCAGCTCAGATGCTTAGCCATTACACTACACCTTCCAACTAAGCAAGAACTGTGGTGAAAAATGATTGATTAAACTATACAAAGTGAAACTCTTGGAGACAGCAGAGAACTAGGAGCAACACCAACCCAAATGTGAAAGAGCATCCAATAAGGTCAAATATAAAGAACCTGGATGATTCATTATGCAATCTGCTGAAAAATACAGCTAAATCCACTGTAAAGTAGTTTTATTCTAACTGGTCTAAACAAGTCTAAACATTCACATTCAAATATTAATTCCAAATAGTTAAAAAAAAATGCTACAATTCTTTTTGGATTGTTTCTGTTCAGCATCTCGCTGACAGAAAGACTGTTCTGTTGGAAACAAATTGTTAAGCCAAATTTCAAAGACTGATTAATTGTGAGGGGGAAAAAAAGAAAGAGACAGAAACAGGGATGAAGAAAAGACAACTTTTTTTTTGTTTTTGGACTGCAGTAGAGAGTGTGTTTTTACTGGAGATCAAAATCCTTACATGCTGCTTTAAGTCAACATGAAATCTAAATCGACCCTGTTTGCTTTAATACGCGTTCCCGGTCTTATGGGAATGATTCACTAGTTGCATGATTTTCCACACTCAAAGAAAAAAAAAACTTTTGTATGTAATTTTACACAAAAATGTTCTAATTTGCTCCACTTTAGAGATAACTTTTCTGTCAAAAGTTATATTCATATTATTATATGTACTGTACATAATGCTGAAAGACTTAAAGTAAATACCAGAGTGCACATATAATTCAACACAATAGTCTACTGTATATCAAAGAACCATACTATTACCATCGAACACTATGGTACCACACCAGTACTTTTAACAAGGGCATTAATTATTTCTATCCATCTTCCTATTTCTTTCTCTCTCGCTCTCTCTCTCTCTGCATTGTTGATGGCCAGGATTTGGTTGGTTACTATAGAGACTGATGGGAGGAGGGGCAACCACATTTGGGTACAAGGGGACGGAATGAGTGGGAGCGAGGGAGAGAGAGAATATTATCATAATTGCATGTTCTGCTGATGGTGCTTAAGAAGTGAAGCCAACAGGGAAATGAAACACAGATCGTCGTTTGCCACGTGACCTCTCTGAGAATGAAAGAGTGATGGATATGAGAGAAAAATACTTTCTATGGGCCACAAACACCACAAAACAGCCTCTGAGTCAAATCACTTGGAGACAAAGAATTTGGGGAGAGAGAGAGAGAGCGGGAAGGTAATGGAAAAAAAGAAAGAAATCAAAATCTGCCATCTCAGACATCTCCTGGCTGTTAATGCAACAGCAATCCTCTATGCTGCCTTACATCGGTTAAGTCGTTTGTCATTGGTCGTTAAGGTGAGTTATCTTTTGAGGCATGAAATTGGAGCCAGACACACTTTCTCAAAGTAAACACTTCTCTTTGAGGGGCAACAGATTTGTTATAAATCTATTAGGCGTCAGTCAGTGCGGCCCAAAGGTAATTTCTTGTTAATGGAGGAGCTATGTGGGTGTGTTTGGCTTTTCCATCTGTACTTTCCTGAGTGATTATTTGCAATGATGTGTTTCTTTTTTTCTTGAGAGCTCACATGCACATACTAGACCCGCGCCAGATGGGACCCGAGTGTATAACCGGGTTTACCCTGCTGAAAAAAACCCCACTTAAGTACATGTATGTGGGCCTAGTATGTGGATGGTTACTGCTTAGACTAGTCTTAAAAGTTAGTCATCTAATTTTTTCCTTCAAGACTAGTCCTAATTTCTTTAAAGACAGTTATATTGTCTAATCCATTTGGAATTAAAAATAATTACCGCTTGGTTACCAACAAGTTGGTCAAAATAGTTCTTAAGACACAGTCTTAACATAAAGTGGCTAAGTTTATGCAACTTGCCTCTGGTCTTCCAGCCTATTTCAAGCCCAAAACCCATCTAAAACAAGCAAACAGACCAGCATGACCAGGCAAATGGAGACGAGCAAAGACCTGCAATCTGAGGATATCTGAGGCTGGTTTAAAGGAGTAGTTCACTTTTAAAAAAACTTTTGCTGATAATTTACTCACCCCCATGTCATCCAAGATGTCCATGACTTTCTTTCTTCAGTTGAAAAGAAATTAAGGTTTTTGATGAAAACATTCCAGGATTTTCTCCATATAATGCACTTTACTGGTAACCAAACGGTTCAAGGTCAAAAGACAGTTTCAGTGCAAACTGCAAACTGTTCAAAGGGCTTTAAACGATTCCAGACGATGAAAAAGGTACTTATCAGGCGAAACGATCGCTCATTTAAAAAAAAAAGAAAAAAGTTTATGTTTTATAAGCTCAAATGGTCGCCTTGCTCTGTTCTGTGATGCACGTTCGTGACTCTCCTGTTCGAACTCGTTCATCAAAATGAACAAATCTTTTTACGTGTCATTTGGTTCATTCAACGAACGAAATGAACGAATTGACTCGGAAAAAGATTCGTTCATTTTTAAAAGTGAACTACTCCTTAAAGTTATTATGTTACGCAGGGTAAAGAAACATGTAAATATTTAGTTCTAAATTAAAACGTAATGTGTTGTGCACTCACATGCACACAGTCCACATTACAGAGTCCTAACCAGACTCGAAGTAACAAGTTTCAGGTGCAAAGTAATTAATTTGTACACTCAAACTGTGAATGACTCACCTTTTGACCACATTGTTTCCACTCCAACACGTGAGCTCATCGACGCCCATCTCTGCTTCGCACAACGTCTCTGGAAGTATGGCGAAGAAGGACTTATAACGAGAGATGTAGGCCGTAAACTCCCTATAACACAAATCAACAAATAAACAACACATATAGATCACAAGCGATAAATACCATTATGAAAAAGGGTTTTTAAAAGTTTTGAAAGACAAAACTTAGAGAAAGATTTTTTTTTTTCGCAAACAGTTTTAAGAACCTGTTTTGAAGTATTTAATTATATGATATTATATTATTCAAAGGTATAGTTCACACAAGAATGAAAATGCTGTCATTAATTACCTTCATGTCATTCCAAACCCTTTATTCATCTTAACACAAACGAAGAGGTTTTTTTCAGGTCCCATTGACAGCTATGCAACACCAACTTTGATGCTTCAAAAAGGTCATAAAGGTGTCATAAAAGAATGAATTGAGAGGTTTATTAAAAAAAAAAAGTTCTGATGAGGCGCGATTGCTTCATATGAGGAACAGATTAAATTTAGGCTTTTATTCAGATATAAACATGCATCAACTCACACATCAGTTGTGGTAAACGGAAGTTCAATCATGCTTGCTTGACATGCGAGAACCAATGAGGTTCATTCTTGTATTTCGCAGAACGTTTGAGCTTCAGCATGAACGAAAGCCATATGGGTTTTTGAGCGACATGAGGGTGAGTAATAAATGACAGAATTTTCATTTTTGTGTGAACTAACTCTTTATGTCTATAAACAATAAAATAAAATAGACTTGGAGGATGGAGCATGGAAGTGGGTAGTTACAGGTCACATGCTTAGTAAGGAACCAATCAGGCATCCCAAATTTACAATTACAAAGGCTCTTTTCACACTTAAATTTGTTTGCTTGATCTGAACCCAAGTTCAATTCCATCCCTCTCCCATCAGCCCATGTTTTTAAACGTTTCTGTCATCCAGAGTCGATAACGAACATCAAATTCTGGTAAGATTAGTGGTTCACATGCAAAAATTAGGCCACACTGCAATTGTAACAAATGTGAATTATACTGGAGTCCACATGAACCACAGTCCAAAACATTTTTTTTTGAGCAGACCTGGGTTCAACCATTCAGGTTTCACAACAAACAAACAAACCAAACTCTAATGACAAAGAGACTAGATCAGCACTAAAAGTACTAGTGTGAAAACACTAACTGGTAAGGCAATAAGTGTGTAGAAAAGAAGCGGAACTCACCTATATTGTTCAAGGTCAGCACACGCGCAGACACACATTTTAAAGAAAGATAAATGCAATTTTTAGTAAATGCATTCATGCTTACCGTGCAACATTTTTCAGAGTTCTACCTCCATCGCTCTTGAGGTTTCAGAGGGAGTGAACTGAGAACGGTCAAACCCCCAGTACAAAACAATGGAACAGTCCAGAGGAGGATGAGGCAAGCAGTTTGGAGGGGAGGACAGAAAGATGGAAGAACCAAAGGGCAACAAAACAGGGGGAGGGGATGATGGTGAGAGAAAATCATGAACATGGAGAAAATTAAAACCACTCATGCACATGCAAACCAGAACCTGGAAGATGGGTTATAACACACTAGCAATAAAACTCAACAACGACCACCA